TGTCCAGATTCACAGAAGCCTTTTACCACCTTTCCTTTTTTTTTTTTCACCTCATGCACAGAGACAAAGGAGGTGGGGGGAGACTAAAATCCACAAAGACATTACAATTACAAGCAGTAAGAGGTGAAGAACACTGTTTCTTATCCGAGGAGAGGGACACAGCTCAAGTCAGCAGAGAGACCAGGGATGGAACTAGAACAAACCCTCCTTTTGGTGCAGAAATTTTCATTTCATGAACCACTTCATAGTATTTTACAATAGCTTTCTACATTGGATTCTTTGTTATTTAGTGAAGTTAGTCCAGAACATAACTTAAACGTGTACGTACTTTATTTTACATTTTCCTCACAATAACAGCAAGGACTACACACTTTTTGCCAAATACAACAGTGAAGGAATCAGAGCTGCATCCTATTAACCCTGAAGACATAAACAAGGGTTTGAAACCTTGAAAATCTCACCCTAAACTCCTGGCAATTCCACCTACTCTTCAAGGATGTGTGGGGCTTTTTCATACGGGGTTCCTGAGCTCTAACATGACCCCTTAAAAACATTCTCCACCTACTGCTAAGCCCTACGCAACAAGAGGTAAGGATTAAAATTTCTCATCTTTAAGTGGCACTGAAAGATAACAAGGACATCAGAAACAGGCACTGAAACAAAACAGCAAGTGACCCTGTAAGGCTCATGGCACATACTTCGGCATGTAACATGTAATGTAGCGAAGTCAACATGCAGCATAGTAAACCATTTTAAATAATCCCATCCATACTGAAATGGAAGTTTATTGGTCAAAACATACTACTGTAAGCTATCCAGTGTTCTTGCAAACCTGCTAGCAAGACAAGATGCCAGCAGCAGCCACACTGTGATTGTGTATGTCAGAAGAGGGGCTAAGGTCACCTGTGGCATGTACAGCATAACTATTTCTACAGTGAGGCCATGACACAATTTTATTCTTTTTTTTACAACAAGCTGGAGTGCCTTGTAAAGTTGTGCAGTATGCTTGGCATCAACCCATCAGTTGTATATGACTTTACCTTTTATTTTTCATATTTTCAAATTACACTTGATGAAAAAACTGTTTTGCAAGTTATAAGTAATGACTTGGATATACTGGTTTTAGTCCAGATAAACACTTGAAATCAATGGAATTAAAATGCTTAGGCAATTTTGAAAATCCTTTATGCACCTCTGTATACCATAACAGTGTTTAAAATCTAACCCACCTGTTTTAGTTCTTATGTACTTCACCAAGAGATACATTAGAATCATCTTATGATTAGCAGATGCAAGATGCTGATATTCTGCTTATTTCACTGTCAATGTCAAAATAACTCTGAAGTGCCTGTAATGCCACAGCTTCATATAGCAAATCAATCTAAACACTGTGTATAACAGCAAAAATGTTGAGCATATAAAGTAATATGCAAGTGCTTTCTCTCTACGATCTGGACAACATAGGCCCCATCGTGTGATCCAACAAACAAAGGCATCTCAGACTATAAACTCAGTACCTGTGTATCCCACATCAAGTATAGCATAACAGATGGCATATTCTATTCCCCACAGTCTTTCAAGACTCTAGTCAACTCATAAAAAACAACAGCCTACACATCTCACAAAGTTTTATCATGCTGCTAGAGGACTGCAATTCACATGAAAACTGTCATGAAGAACAGAAATTTTAAAGTATAGGAATTCCCATCATTGTATGAAGTCTCTTTATTGTGCATTAACTGACACAGGAAGTTTCTATTAAAGGTATGTTTACAATACTAGGTTAAAGGCCCTCCTCCCAAGCAACTCTGATGTGAAGACTGAGGACTGAGTATTCATTCTTGCTCAGAATAGCTGCAACCTCCAAGCATTTTACAACTATTCATTCTACTATAGTGAATGCTGTGTGCACTTTTGCTAGGTAACGGAGGCAGGAAACGGAAAGAAAGACCAGCCATATCTAAATGTAGATAGCTTTTTTCCAAAACGGTATTAGCAAGCAAAATGCCATGGTCTAACACCACTGCCAGCATATAGAACACTACCTACTCACTACATTTGCCTGAATAATAAATATCCCTCATGTTCCACTGCCTTCTTATTTCAGTGGAAGAGCTACATAAATTTGTACCTGTAGCAACTATGCAAATAAGTTTTTATGCATTCGTGCTTGTATTTGAAGATACTAGGAACAACAGAAGTGCATACGACATAAACACCAAAGAGCATCATCAGCTTTTGCCAATCGTTCAAACTAGCGTATCTCAAAAAAAACCTCTGCATTTATCTTAATTGCAGTTTTTTAACCTCATATATACACATGCATACTTCTTATGCACAAAAACATTTTTATACAGATGTTCCTGCCATTTCAGTCACCCACCTGTAACCCTTTTAAACTATCTTCTCCAATCCTTCTACTTCTTATGAAAGAGATACAAGAGAAACTAAATAACTAGCCTCCCACACTCAATTGACATTGTTCTGTTATAATTCTTCTTGCATTTGAAAACAACCTAGAAGCTTAATCTCTGAAGCCACCTTTTTTACCTTTCATTATACACAAAAATTCTTTGGTATGTTCTACAGATTAAACACTCAAGTGAACTGTATGCAATCTATTCCTGGCAAATCACACTGCTAAAACATTTCTTAATATGTATGTATTGTGAAGCACAGCCAATACCATGAAACCTCCTTCATAAACAAATATCAAAGAGCAACACAGAAAACCAGTACTCATCATAGGGTTTTATTTGCCTATTTGAATCTTGCCATATAGATCAATATAACTGTTTAAACTTATGATTTATTTTGAGATTTCAACAGACAAGAATGCACATCCAGCCAATTCCTGTAGAAATGGAGCTATCTCAGACATTTGTAGTTGGTTTTCCATGATAACACATTCATGAGGAGGCAAAAAATTATGGGAAACTGGAGTACCACCATCTGAAATCTTGCATTTCAATCAATAACCTACGTGTATTGACAGCTGCATCCCAAAAGACATTGTCATGCTAGGTACACTCTTTTAAATAATGCCACTAAGGAACCCACAAGATCATTAATGATCAAATGGCACTTTTCCCACAAGAGCAAAATATGCAGTTGAAGGCATTTTAATATAGCATGCAATCAATAAAAATTCTTCTTCAAATAGCTGAAACTATTGGAAACTTCAGCTGAAAATTAAATTGTTAAACAGCATTTTTGCAAAAATCTGCAATGAATTTCATATGTGAGATTATCAGAAACTGTCAAAGTAGATAACAGTATATAAAAATTATCATATTGGGCATCTTTGCAAACAAAACTACTGAATTAGAGGCGGCTAGCTGACCACCTGGAAGCAGGCTTGACTACAGTGTGAGTGAGAACTGACAGCTGCATTCTCCTCTGCAGTTACAGAAATAATTTTCCAATTTCAATAACTAATCCACATTGAGAAACTAAAAGTGAAACCAAATAGGAAAACAAAACCAGTTTTCTTTTTCCAGATGAAACACACATAAACAAGTTCAAAGTATTACTGCCTCTAAAATCAAGGGTGGTGGTAAACATGAGAGGTTGAATTGTTCCTTGGTTATAGTTATAACTTCTTTCACTTTAGAAATCCACCATAGTGTGACATTAATCAAACACTTTAACATCAGGTTATACTAGATAATAAAGCTGGCTTTAAAACTGTCTGTCTGCATTTCAACAGAGTTCCAATTTTCATCCAAAACATTGACATGTGAACATAAGAAATAAATCCAGTGAATATGATTCACTAACAAAGGAGTAAGAAGTATGAACATACTATGACAAAAGACCATGTATCTTACTGACTACCTATTAAATCAATGGACAAATATGCAACTTAATGAACCTTCATAGTTACTACTTACACAATCTCAAGAAAAATGAGAACAAATCTAAAATCAATATAACGTCTGAAATCCACAGGACAGAAAAATGTTATATGAGAAAACTCATCTTAAATTCTATATCTACTTATGTTGAAAAACATTCAAGTCATTCTGGTGATTTTGAATCTGAAACTACAATTTTACAGGGAAATCAAAATTGTAGTTACCAAAGTTACTACTGCAAATTAAGTTGGTCTTTAGAAGACACTAAGAGGAATGTAAATGGACTGTATATGTTTGTTTCAGTTGCCTTAAAGTACTTTGCTTTAGAATACTGCCTTGATTCCACTATTCAAACATGTTCTATGCACATACTGTCATTACCCTGCAGCCTCCTACAGCAACTTCTGGAATTATGTCAAATCTTATCCCAGCTTCTTCTGGTAGGATAAAGAATTGGTCTCCCTTTACCAAGGGAAAAAGTAAAACCTGCTCTGCACTCAACAGACAAGCAAAAATACTTTGGCCCCAGTACTGAAAGGCACAGAATGGCAGAGACCTCAAAACAGATATAATCTTTTAAAGGGTTAATGTTTTTCACGTTCTGTAAGATAAAGTGTATTTATAAAAGGAGGAATAGATTGTTCATAGAACTTCAAAACCGAGGTTTGTCATGACAGCAATACCTAGGCACCTTACTCTAAATACAAAATAATCACATGAAGTTCTTCCACAAAACTGGTCAGAACACACGTTGTCTTTGCTTTACTGATGTCCCTCACAGAATCAAAGGTATTTCCCTAAAAAAACAAACAAACAAACAAAAACAAAACAAAACAAAACAACCTCCTGGTTTAAAAATCAAGGGCCGCATTTTTTCCATGGCAAGCCAAAATGAAAACCTATCCTTTTATGTATGGTTTGGTGGTAGAGCAGGCACTGTCAAAAACAGCTGCCAAATCCAAGAGTCACTGCAGGTTTTAGTTGTTCACGTTTCTCTTATACGCAAGTGTAAGAGGCCAGCCGTGTAGAACATTCAGCTATTTTAATAATTCAGCTAATTTTATAATTTTTAATAATGACATGGAAATATACTACCCTTACGCAAGCATTTTCAACTTGACTTGAAGTGTTAAGTGCAATTACATAAAAGTAAGGATGAAAAATCTCTGCAAGGAGAGAATACAGGAGACCAGACAAGGCTCTGCTCGACCTGCTCCCCCTCCTCAACGACCTCCCGAAGGGTAGCCAGTCGGGATTTTTCCTAGGGAAGAACAGGGCCTTTACTTTACCATAAAAAAAAAAAAAAAAAAAAAGAAAGAAAGGCGATTTACCCCCCGACCACCCCCCATCACCTCTCCGAAAACCGGCCCGCTCCCTGCCCAGCAGCCAATCCGCCCCCAGGCCCGAGAGGGGGGCCCCGCGCCTCGCACGCTGGAAACCCGGCAGCACGCGTTAACACAAAAAAAAAAAAAAAAAAAAAAAAAAAAAAAAAAAAAAAAAGCAAGCAAGGAACTAGAAAAACCAAACCAAACAACACCCGGTTTGGGGAGGGAAGGGGGTGGGCAGGCGAGGGCCGAACGGCCGCGCTGCCCTGGGCCCGGCACCGGCCAAGCCCGCTCTGAGGGGCCCGCGGCTGATACCGGGTCGGCTGAGGGGACAGTCCCGCTCGCCCCGACCCCCCAGCGCCGGTGGCAGCGGCCCCACCGCCCCCATCACGGCGGCGGCAACGGCGAGTCGCCCCCCTCCACCCACCCTACCTCAGCCGAACCGCCGCTTCCGCCCACCCGAAAAGGCCGCGCTGCCCCGGCGACCAATGGAGACCCGCGCTCTACCTTCCGTCCCGCCTTCCCCAGCCGTTCCCGCCAATCGCGACGCGGCGTGACCCCGGCTGCGGCGCACACCCCTGGCGCCGGCGAGGGCGCCGCCGCGGGCGCACTTCCGCCCGCCGGAAGGGTGATGTGGCTGTGAGCGAGCCGCCATGGTAAGCGCGGGGCTGCGGGCGGGAGGGGGGCGGCTGCTCCGCTCCGGGACCGGCCCCGGTCCCCTCCCGCCGGTACTGCCGGCTTCTACCACCACCATCAACCTGCCTGGTTGCGTCTCCGTCGAGCGACGCGTCCCAGCCCCGGTACCCACCCCCCCCACGGCCTACCCGCGGCCTTCGAGCTCCCCCTCAGAGGCCGGGGCCCTCGCCCCGCCGCGGGGCAGCGAGCCCGCGGCGACGGAGCCGTTCCCGTTCCGTCGGAAAAGCCCCGCAGGAACGCTCCCCGTGTCCCTTTCCCCGCCCGCAGCCTGACAGGTCTGTGCCGGCCTAACGCGGGTGTTCCCCGGGGCAGCGTCCGTGCTGCCGCCCGCAGCGCGCTGGCTGTCTGTCCTGACCTGATGTAACGTGCGTGTTCGGCGTCTGGCTTCTTGAGCTGAACCCTGACGCCGACTGCTGCTGTCGTTTTTCGGGGATAGCGTCAGAGGCCTGGGCCTGCTTGCTGATGAGAAGTGTGAATGGTGTATGTAGAGTTGACCAAAAGGCTTATTATCATTGCCACTTAACGTTTTTTATGGTTCCTGCCTTTTTTTCATTCTCTGTACAGAGAATATAAGTGGAAGATGAGTACTTGGGTTAGAGTTAAATCTGTGCTGTGGAATAACTTTGTCATGTAAGGTGAAGATCTCTTTAGGAATATGCAGACTCATTTAAAATTGATTTTAAAAGGAAAAACAGTGAAGAGAAGGTTTCCCTATACAAATGAAGCTTCGCATATAACTTATTTCAATGCAGAATTATTTTAAGATTAGCATTTTCACTATTTTTCTTAGAATCACAGAATGGCTTGGGTTGGAAAGGGCCTTTAAAGATCGCCTAGTCTACCCTCCCTGCCATGGGCAGGGACATCCTCCACTAGATCAGTTTGCTTAAAGCCTTGTCCCACCTGGCATTGACAGGTTATCTGTCACCAGTGATATATACTGTACAACTTCCACTGAATCTTTTTGTACTACCCACGTACTTATTACAAGATTAGTATCTCATGAACTTTTATACAGTTCAGTTCAAACAAAGTTGCGAGGCTCCAGATCTTGTCACCAGCAGGAAACTGCTGGAAGTTGCTCACCTGAGTATTTTTTGGCAGATCTTTTAGATGAACCTGTTCTAATCTGTAGATTCAAGCAGCAAACAAAGGGTTTTTATGATAAGAGGCATAAATTATCTCAGATCTAAAGCACACATACAGAAAACAAGATGAAAGAAGGGAATACCTCACTTCTAATCAGTGCCTTGAAAAGGTAGATATGATGGAAGTACAACATCACCTTGTTGTTCTTCATAATACTTAAAAGGATTTGAGATTGTATGAGAAAGGCAAGAGAACCGTGATGATCAGTAAGACTTTTACATTGTTCAGTTTAGCACCTAAATATAACACTAAAGTTTATCAAAAAGATTATGGCAAGCATACAAAATCTTGTGAAAATATATTTTTCCCAGGTTTTCCATGTTGCTTGTAGAGGTTATTCTATATGCTTCCAGGAACCTGAAGTTAGAATCTTTTAATAAGATTTTTTTGTGTGTGATTTTATGTCAAATGAGGTGCAAATAATATTCCTCAGTCTTGTAGTGTTTGAATTTCCTCAAGAAAAACAATAATGCTCATGGCATATCCAGGACTGTGGATTCACCATGATGCTACCTCTGGTGTCATGGCTTCTTAGTAAAAAAAGTTACTGTCTTGTGGAACTAGCAGCCATGATCAGTAGTTACTGACACTTTTGAGCTCACACTTGACTCTAAGATGGGAAACAGTTGCTGTCTGTGTATCATCAAATGGAAGAGAGTTGAGCTACACCTCCAATTTGTTCTCTTTCTCCAAGGAAAATGAGATACAACTGTGGCAAGCTAGTAGCTTCATGAATAGTATAATTTCCAAAGGACTTTATCCCTTGGAACTTTCTATCCCATTGTCTCCCAGGCTTCCTTACCACATCCTTGCTAAACAAGTCAAAACTTGTGCTGGGCAAGTGATCAGCTGCTGCCAAACAGAATATACATATAAGCTGGCTTCTACCTGTCTTCCTTTATATGAAAGAACAATTTCTGTTTATTTTTTTCCCCGTTCACTGCCAGTGGGTAGAAAAAAAATACCAATTTCAACTTAAACGAACTTTGGAAGCAAGTAGAAGCCACTCAGTGGATTGAAAAGTTACTGGAAACAGAAAGGGTGCACTATAATAACAGAACTGCTTAATTTATTTAGGAACAGAATATGTAATTTACTGACTTTCACAAATCACTATGTCAGTTTATCCTGTCAGCTTGAAATTCTATATCTGAAAACTCAGTAAGTCTTTTCTAGTGGGGTTGAAAAAATTGCCACACACATGTGGTGCAGTGGATGGAAAGTGGGAATAAGCTAAAGTAACAATAAAATTAATGGTGATGTTCTCACCTGCTGAAGGGTGGTCTTCACTTTCCTTTGTAGCAAAAATGTGCAATTACATCAAAACATGAGTACACATACAAAAACCATCTTAGTAGATATGTTTTGTGTCTGTAATTGCAATTTGGTGATGAAGAAAAAGAATTACAAAATCTTCACAAAGATGGCTTCTTTCCCTTCAGCCTCTGGTTAGGACTGGCCTCAAGTCCCATATTAATGCTGAAAAAATGATTTGGGAACTTTCCATGAGGACAAACATTTCTGTCACAATCTTTGTTCCTGTTTTAGAATGGTGTTTATAGAAGCAAGGGGAATTGCTCATATAACCAATTGTAAAAACATTCATTAGTAAATATTGATCCAAACCAAGCTCTGAGATATAAACATAGCAGAATCTGAGATGCTGTTCTGCAAAAGAGCTTTCAGGAGTCTTCAAGTACAATGTTTTGTCTTCGGCTTATTCAAAGTTACAAGAAGGAATCAATCCTGATTCATATTTGCTAATAGCTTTGCTTTTATCATGGCCTAAAGGTAGATAGGATTAAAACCATCTCCTAGTTAATCTTACAGTCTTAAGGTATCTTTGTATTGTGAATTTATTTTGCAATGATGGACAACTTTTTTCATGTCAGTATTATGCCACTGGGCATTGAATTTTTTGAATAAGAAGCAATTAGAATGTTAGGGAGTTACAGCTGCAGTAACAAATTTTCCATCTGATAAAGCCTTCACTACTCAGCTAATCTGATTTTGTTGGGAATCTGCGGATCTTACTCTTACACCAAAACTGTAATTCATGAAGATGCTACAACCTTCTTTTCTACCAGTAGTGCATCAACTGACTCGCGTCCCTGCACTCAATACTAGTTTACCCCCATGGCAGCTCTGGCATGCCACTAGCCATTCGAGCAAATACTGCTAGTTGAGGAGAGAGCAAGAAGAACCCGCTCTCCATGTACCTTTCCTCATGTCAGAATAAGAAGCTTGTCAGAGAATTGAAAAGGAGAGAGGAAAGGAGAAATGGGAGACACAGTATGGCTAGGTAGGGACAGTGAAGAATGTTGTTTACTGCACTAGTATTGATGCTTAGTAAATCTCACAGCATCTGTAGCTGCACTTGTAAATAGTAATGCTACTCTGGAGTAGGAGTGTTGTGAATTACTGCTTGAAATGTTCAGTATAGATACTTCTGTGTCAGTTTACAACGTGATGTGAAAATATATCCTCAGTATTTTGCTTTTGTGTATATAGAACAGAGGAAACTATTTCTTCTGCCACTGTAAGATGCATCTTTTTGATTTGAATGCAGTGAGTCTACTTTTACAAATTCTACCACATACCTGGACAATCCAGGAGTGACACGAGTTGTGAGAAACCATTTCTTTGCTGAGTGCTAAGCAGTTCTTACTAAACATCTTTGGCATTCTGTGTACTATTAAACGTCTTAATTTTATTCAGTAATAGCATGAGAAGTGGGGATCACATTTTGCCGCAGGCCATTTGAAATTAATAATGGGCTGATTATACATTGTATATTTTTCACTCACGATCCAAACTCATAAACTGAACAAAAAATTAAGCTGTCGTAAGATAGTCAATGTCATGATTTAATTTTCTGATTGGCTGCAACATTTGACACTGTGCATATCCACTGTAATAGCTACAGTGTTGAATATGTTTTCCTGCCAATGCACAGATATTGTTGTTCAAACTCACCAAAGGTTTTTATTTTCAACTTTCTGGCCAGGGAAAGAAGGTGGAAACAGCTGACATTTTGCTAAAAATGTTACCTGCTTTACTGATGCTAAGAATCTAAACCACGTACCTGAGCTCTAACAAACAAGAGACCTACAGAGGTGCTGTAGTCCTGCCCAGTGCCATGAGACAGCAGAGACTTAGCAGAGCTTTTAATTATTTCTTGATTGTGTTTTTTCCTGATAGAGAAGTATTTATTTTTCCTGTTTTAAAGAGATGGTTCTACTATTAATAACAACAAAAAAAAAGTATATAAATAGTATACATATTGTTTTTTTGTTTTTTGGGTTTTTTTTTCATTCTTAGGTAAATTAAAAGATAAGTTTTTTGTGCAGCCTTTAGAAGAGAAATAACATACTATACCTCTGCTGCATGCAGGCACATTTTAGGCTCTTTGTCAGGATGTTCAGTAACGCAATTCAGCTTTGAATTGTACAGGCTTTCTGTGAGGGTAAGAAACGTTTAGAGAAATAGACTGCAGGTGTTTTTTTCCCTGTTGTGCTATGGACCCAATCTCTAGTTAGTTTTTGATTCTTGCTTGTGAGTTTAGTGTGATAGTAGAACTTCCACCGTAACACTATTTTTCTTAAATT